CTCTAATCACAAGGTTGGTTCCTCTGGGGACTAGCTATCTAGATATCTGAAGCTGGGGCACCTGGGTGGCTCAGTTGGTTAATCGACTGCCTTCCGCTCAGGTCACGATCCCAGAGTCCTGGGATCGAGTCCCACATTGGGCTCCCTGCTCACTAGGGAGACTGCTTCTCCCTCTGACCCTCTCCCCTGTCATGCTGTTTCTCTCTCTCTCTCAAATAGAGAAATAGAATCTTTAAAAAAAAAAAAAAATCTGAAGCTATCCAGCCCCCCTCCTGCAAAAAGTCACCTCATTGGCATAAATTCAGGTATCAGTAGTTAATAGGGGCTCATTATGAATAACAAAAGCAGACTCCAGATAATTCCAAGGGCATTTAGGGCTCTGTGTCAGGAACTCTAGACAAAGACCAAATATATATATATTATTATAGTATGCCTTCTCTGAGTCTGTCTTCTGGTTGCAAAAAGAGAGTATTCAGCTAGATGAGAGGACCATAGGCTGTATCCAGACTTCACTGTATTTTATTTTATTTTATTTTTAAAGATTTTATTTATTTATTCATGAGAGATGGGGGGGGGGGAGAGAGAGAGATAGAGAGAGAGAGAGAGAGAGGCAGAGGGAGAAGCAGGCTCCCAAGGAGCAGGGAGCCCGATGCGGGACTCGATCCCAGGACTCCGGGATCACGACCTGAGCCGAAGGCAGACGCTTAACCATCTGAGCCACCCAGGCACCCAGACGTCACTGTATTTTAAAAAATCAATTTGCGACCAACATTTAAAAATGATATTTCTCTCAAAAATAATCCAGATGTCTCATCCCTCTTGAAAAATCAGAAGATTTAGCAACACTGGGTCAGCATTCCCAAATGGCAATTATCTGCCTGGCACTTTTAAAGAGGCTTTTCTAGGGGCACTGGGTGGCATAGTTGGTTAAGCATCCAACTCTTGGTTTCGGCTCGGGTCGTGATCTCAGGGTCCCGGGATCGAGCCCTATGTTGGGATCAGTGTGGAGTCGGCTTGAGATTCTCTTCTCTCCCTCTGCCCCTCCCCGCTGCACACTCTCTCTCTAAAATAAATAAATAAAACCTTTAAAAAAACTTTTTTTTAATTAAAGGGCTTTTCTATTTGCCATAGTTCCTACCACTCCCACCTACCTCACCTCACTCACCAGCTGGGCCCCTTGTATTTCAAACCCTCAAACCTATGATACTAGAAGGATTAGGTTCCCGTTGACTAGAAGCTCCTTGAGGTTGGGACAGTAACTGAATCTAGGTACATATTTCAAGCATCTGTGCTGCACAGTATATTTCTCTGATAATTAGGGGATGCCTCACTGTGGGATGAATAGATAGGAAATGAGAAATAATTCTGCAAAAATAAGTGATAAAGGAATGAAAAAGACAGGTATTTGGTTCCTAGAAACAATACACCCCCAACGGGTCTTTGGGGGTCAGGCACAGACCAGAAGGCATGGATTTCTGGTAGTGCCCTTTTTCACATTTATGGAAAATAATTATAGTGTCAAGAGCTTATGGAGATGAGCAGTACAAGCACAGACATGCGAGGGAACGCAGGTGCTACAAATGGAGAACAAGTTATAGGCATTTACTAAACAAAACCCTATTATCTGTTAGAAAACTTTAATATCATCCCATTTCCTATTTATTAAGATTTTATTTATTTATTTGACAGACAGAGAGCAAGAGAGGGAACACAAGCAGGGGGAGTGGGAGAGGGAGAAGCAGGCTTCCCGCTGAGCAGGGAGCCCGACGCAGGGCTCGATCCCAGGACCCTGGGATCATGACCCGAGCTGAAGGCAGACGCTTAACGACTGAGCCACCCAGGCGCTCCCCATTTCTTTTTTCAAAAGATTTATCTATTTATTTATTTATTTGAGAGAGAGCACGCGCACAAGCACGGGGGTGGGGGTGGGGGTGGAGGTGGAGGCAGAGGGAGAGAGAGAGACAGTCCCAAGCAGACCCTTTCCTAAGCACGGAGATGTCACCATCGCAGCAGAAACCAAGAGTCCCACTTAACTGCACCACCCAGGCGTCCCAACATCATCCCATTTCAAACTCCTTGTCTTCAAAGTTATAAATAAGAAAAAGGTGGACTAGCTAATCAGCTAAATATATTAAGATAATACTGAAGTTAAGAGAATGGATTTAAGGGGCGCCTGGGTGGTTCAGTTGGTTAAGCGCCTGCCTTTGGCTCAGGTCATGATCGCGGGGTCCTGGGATCCAGCCCTGTGTCAGGCTCCCTGGCTCAGCAGGGAGTCTGCTTCTCCCTCTCCATCTGGCCCTACCCCCTGCCTGTGCTCTCCCGTTCCCTCTCTCTTTCTCTCTCTCTCTCAAATTAATTAAAAACAAAGAGAGAGAGAGAGGTAGAATGGATTTTAGGATCATCCAGACCTGGAACTTATTATTAACAATGTGAACTTGAGGGGCACCTGGGTGGCTCAGTCAGTTAAGCGTCTGCCTTCGGCTCAGGTCATGACCCAGGGTCCTGGGATCAAGGCCCGCATCAGGCTCTCTGTTCACCGGGGATCTTGCTTCTGCCTCTTCCGCTGCTGCTCCCCCTACTTGTGCTCTCTTACTCTCTCTCTAATAGATAGATAAATAAATAAATAAATAAATAAATAAATAAATAAATAAAATCTTTAAATAAAAAAATGTGACCTTGAGAAAGTCAACGTCCTAATCTGTAAAATGGCTATGTAAGACCTGGTAATTTTAATTCAATGTAAATTTAATTCAATGCATACTATAAATGCAATGCAGACACTGAATTAGATGCTGAAGACACAGCAGTGAACAAGACAGAGACAGAGAGACAATAACCAAGCAAATAAATACGAGATAATTCTTCTGAAGGAATAAATGAAGCAGGTACAATGGAGGAAATACAAGTGTCGTAGAAAGTCACTAAAGGGTGGTGGTAGTGGCAAGTAGAGATGGGAGGTCAGGGAAGGTGGCATTTGAGCTGAAATCTAAATGAGCAGACAGCTATGCCAAAAGGGAGACAGGAGGAAAGGGGTCCCAAGCCCAGCTGTTGAGGAATAACTGAATGAATGAAAGCACTTGGTGGTAAACAACCACTCAATAAACAGCTGCTATTCTTATTATGGCATATACTTTACTCTCAGCTCCTTCTATTCAAACAAGGAGAAGCTGGCCAAGGCATAGATCAGAGGGATAAATATATATATTTGAAAGAAAACATATATGAAAAATAAATATAGGAGCACCTGGGTGGCTCAGTCAGTTGAGTGTCTGACTCTTGGTTTTGGCTCAGGTCATGTCTCAGGGTCGTGAAATTGAGATTCCCTCTCTCTCTTCCTCTTCCTCCCCGCCCCCATCCCTCCTGCTCCTGAGCCTGGGGTGCAGGCACATGTTTCTCTCTCAAATAAATCAATCTTTTTTTAAAAAAAAGTAAATATAAACATGTTCATGTAAAGTAAAGGCCCCCAAGAAAAATTCAGGCTCTGGCCTCATAAGGAGATTCCATAGCTCTGAATCATACACCCAAGTCAGGTAGAAGCACTCACCCAGCCTCACCCCTGTTGCCAACCCAACTTCATCCTCCTTACACCATACAGAACTATTTTAACTCCTGAAACCCGTAATCCCTCCACTGGAAACCTGGAACTGGGAACCGCCTCTTAATTTTATTTAATTGATACGCATATGTTGTACGTTCTCTTTGGAATTGTGTGCCTGTCTGGTCCAATTGTTATAAGGGGCTCTGGGTTAACCAGAGTAATGGTCAAGAAGGAAAATGCAGAAATGTAAACAGAAAGCTTCCGTTTGCATGATGAATCTGGTAACTTGTTTATGGAAGTGCAAAAACACATTATAGGCATTTAAGCATTGGTCAAAATCTTGCTGTGACTCTTGGGATAGTTCCATAAGCTGATAGTTTTTGATAAGATGTACCGAGCACTTACTACAATGCCACACCTTGCGCTGAGGAACTTCAAGGGCATCAGTTCCTTTAATATTTTCAACATGCCTAAGAAGTGGTTTCCTTTTATATTCAGTCCACCTTCACGGATAAGAAAACTGAGATTCAATCAGCTAGTAAATGACAGTGGTGGGATATAAATCCTGATCTGACTCTGCTCCCCAACCTCTCAAGACCACTTACTGGTTAGTCTCCCAAAGCCAGCGGAAAATACCTCTGAGGGACGCCCTTCTATCCGTTAGGGTACTTCCGCCTTAGAGATAAATCCGCAACCAAGAAACTCCCTCACAGGAAAGACTGCCTCAACGAGCAAGAAGCCCCATCCGCGACACACATACCTGGGATCAGCACTTCCTAACCCTAGCCCCTTAAAGGAAGTCTCCCTTGCCCAGCCAGAATAAGGAAACCTCTCCCATTCCTGAAGACCTTACCCCCCACCCCCAAATTTCAGAAGAGGCCCGGCTACATAATTTGTGGGACCCAATGCAAAATGAAAATGTGGGGTCCCTTGTTAAAAAAAAAAATTAAGAATTTCAAGAATGAGAGAGTGAGCATTAACCAAGCCCTGGGGCCCCTCTTCTGCAACTGCCCTGGTTACTCGCCCATAAAGCCAGCCCTGCTTCAGAAATACCCTTTAAGTAAACGGACTGGCTACCTCACTTAGAATCCTTAAATCCTTTGGACCTGGGGTGGAGGTGGGGGGTACGTAGGACACCCAACTTCCCAAGATATTCGAGAACACACCCTGGGACAACCTTTGAAAATCTGGAGGCACTTCTCTTGGCTTGGGCACAAAGTCCCCTCGCACCCCTCTAATCTCTGGGTCGTCCTCGCGACCCCGCCCCAGCTCCACCTTCGGGGTGTGTGGGCCTTACCGCGTGCGGCCCATTGCCGGGGCAACCGACGCCGCGAGAGATGCATTGTGGTCTGCAACAGAATGCAGGAGAAAGATCCTGAGGGAACCATTGAGTCTATGGACCAATGGGAGAGTCCTGGGGGTTGCGTCAAGCCAATGGGGACGTTCCTCGGGGGGCGGGGCTGGCGGGAGCAGGGCGGGGCCTAGGCACTAGGCGGCGGCGGCGGGCGTGGGGCTCCTTAGATGCGCCACGGCTTCGGTAGCGACGGTACCTCTTGCCGGGTCTGAGTGTCGCCAGCCCCTCCCCCAGGAGACCGTTGCAGTTGGCCGCCCCCTGCTCCTCGGTGAGAGACTCGGGGGCTGCGGGGGGCTTTGCTGCCTGGTTACATCTCCCGCCGGACTTCTCCCGCTGTTCGGTCCGCGCGGCCCGCGCTTTCTGAGAAGTGGGGTGGGGGGCGGGAGGAGCGGACTGGGGTTGCTGGCGCCTTGCAGGCGCAGCCTACACCCCAATTCCTCACCTTTTGCCCGGGCCTCGCCCCCCAGGTAACCATGTGCGACCGAAAGGCCGTGATCAAAAACGCCGACATGTCGGAGGAGATGCAACAGGACTCGGTGGAGTGTGCGACTCAGGCGTTGGAGAAATATAACATAGAGAAGGACATTGCGGCCCATATTAAAAAGGTGAGGACGGGGCGCGCGGGCAGGGGGGGCTCGGGCCGTTTGCGCGCAGCTGGGGCGAGTCACAACTTAGTCCTTCTCCCCGATCCTGCGTCCCCAGAGCTCTTGGCAGACATCCTTGGAGGCACGCAGGGCAGCTCGGGTGTAGAGGTTTCCAGAAAGGACGCAGATGAATTGTGCGCTCCTGATGAGAAGACCAGACCCTCCGCGCCCGAAGTTTTTTTATTACCCAGCTCCGCAGGGGGAAAGCGCCACCTAGCAACGGTTTCTAGGATCAGGGAGCAGCGGTTCCCCCTCTTCTGCATGATTCCTGCGCGGAGGATCCATCTGGGTGTTCCGGAGGGGGGGAGCTGCGTGGGTGTTTCCAGCCGGGCCGGAGGGAGATCTTGCCAGCCTTTCAGTGGGGAGTTGGTCGGCAGTTGAGGGAAAGTGGGTGGTAGTGGTGGTTAGGGGGCTGGGGTGAGGGCTTGGTAAATGGCAGTCTGTAGAAAGCTGGCAGGACTGCCAATTTCTCCCGAGCTGTGTTTTCTGGAAGGGAAGGGAACTGGCAGCTTAAGCCGTGGGAGGGCTCCTAGTTGAGAATGGGGAGATGAAAGACTTCAGATGGAACAGAAATACCTTTTGACAAACGCAGCAGTGGGTTCCTCTAACTTGTAAGAATGTTTTTCCAGTAGATGTAAAAGATGTTCATGCTGCATACAGCGTGAGAGCCGAATTTTGTGTAACTCCTCACAGAGACTTGTGAGAATTACATAGAGAAAGACTGGCTTTGGCGCCTGCCCTGCAGTCACCTAGTGAAGAAATTACCACAGGCGTTCTTGTTCTCAGAGCCCCTTTGGCTGAGGAAAATAGGGAAAGTTGTTCCTGCAGTTTGCTATCTTTGTGTACTAGGTGATAGATTAGCACCATCAGGATAGATGTGGAAGAGAGGGCTATTGAAATTAAGGATAAAATCTGACAGGTGACTATCAGATTCTGTTTCTAGCATTCTTTTTGTAGGAACAGTGGATTGCAGAGTATCTGGTGCCCTTTAAATTTTGATCCACAGTGGTTTAAATGCGAATTGAGGCTTTGCCCTTCACACATCTTTTGTTTTCATTGATACTGGAGTGCAGTTAAGGAATGCATTTGGAGCTAAATATTTACCATTTTGGATTTTGTGGTGCGTGACCTACAGGAGGATAATTTCGTTTGTTTTGTGATAAACTGGAACTGTTATCACCTGTTGTCAATTGAGAATATCATAGGAGCTATGAAGGCGAAATTACCATGATAACAAAGTGCCCTATGAGGCAGCCCTTACTGCCTTTTACCTCCCCAGCCCCCATTCTCAGCTTAGCTCAGACTGCAAGTATGTATGCATTAATGCACTATGTAGGCGACTTGGAGCTGGGGAACATTCTTTCATGCTAAGAATTTGCAGATGCTAACGTTCCTTCTTTCTGCCCCTGCAGGCTCTGCTTATCTAGGAGGCAAACTCTGACCTCTGCTTTAGCACTGAAATTCTAGTGTTCTTTTTCTTTCCCCCTCTCCCCCTACCAGGAGTTTGATAAGAAGTACAACCCCACCTGGCACTGCATCGTGGGGAGGAACTTCGGTAGTTATGTGACACATGAAACCAAACACTTCATCTACTTCTACCTGGGCCAAGTGGCCATTCTTCTGTTCAAATCTGGTTAAAAGCATGGACTGTGTCACACACCCAGTGATCCATCCAAAACCAAGGACTGCAGCCTAAATTCCAAATACCAGAGACTGAAATCTTCAGCCTTGCCTAGGGGAACACCTCGATCTTTGAACCTTTATTGTGTTGTTTTGTACAGGGCATTCTCTGTACAAATTTGTTGTGGTTATAAAACAATTAGCAAAACAGCTTACATTTGTATTTATTTTCTATTCCATACCTCTTCCCCATGTTTTTTCCCCTCAAAATCCATTCCTTTCAAAATAAATCTGTTGGAGAAGTGTGTGTTAGTTACAATTTGTTCAAATCTAGGGTTGAAAATGGCTTATCACTTAATCTTGAGTAGGTTAGTGGGGGTCAGTCCTTGAAGTGAGTTTCTGTGGGATGTAATAGACTAGCCTATTCATAGTGCTCATCTTGAGTCTTTACTCTCCCCCATCCTGCAGCTGTCCTGCATGGAAGAATACTGCTCAGAAGTGCACGTTGAGAAACACATGGCACAGAAACTTTTGGGTTAAATCTCATTACTAATCTGATAAATACTATCCTTAAGTGCTCATTTTGTTAAAAGAGGGTGGTCTGGACTTTGGGCTTCAGGTGGTGGTGATGAATGTGTAGAACTTTATCGAAGTTTGTTTTTTTGGGGGGGGGCTATAAAATAAGCCAGTAACTGAGTTGAGCTAATGAGAAATTTGCTGGGCTCTAGGCTGTCCGCCTCCACCCCCTTTTCCTGCCCTGTCCCAAAAGGACACTCAGATTAAAAGGGGTCTTAAAAGGGAAAATGAACATTTTTGAGCAGCAGCCCTCCATGTGATTCCAATAAAGTCTGCAGGAATTTAAATGTGTAAGCCTGCTGTGCTTTGCTTTAGCTATGCTTAGAAACCCTGTTACAATTAAATGTGAATTGAAGCTTTCATTAAAAGGCCCAATTAAAGCTGTGGATAAGTAACCTTCATTAAAGGTTTCCTGCTATCAATTTTAAGAAGACTTAAGTCTTTTCTAGGAAGAAAATCAAATATAGCAGACTTCGCTTTCGTAGGCATAAAGGAAATATGCCAGAGGCTGAAACAACCCACACTCCTCTTGGGAAGTTGCAAGGAAGGTCCTGGCTTTCTAGTTTCCCTATGTTTTCAGTGTTCACACGAGGTAACACTTTTTGTTTTAAACTTTGGATCTGTGAGATGCAATTAGGATTTCTGAGCAGCCAGGCTACTGCTCCACAGAAGCGGAGGATAGAGTTGAAATGACTCCACCTTAAGGACAGCATTAGGGGGGCGCCTGGGTGGCTCAGGTCATGGTCCCAGGGTCCTGGGATCGAAGATCCGAGCCCTGCATCGGGCATCCTGCTGAGCATGAAGCCTGCTTCTCCCTCTCCCACTCCTCCTGCTTGTGTTCCCTTTCTCGCTGCATCTCTGTCAAATAAAATCTTAAAAAAAAGAGACAGCATTAGGTTGTAACATCTTTGGGACAGTATTACTACTAGAACTTGGGGTTTTAGGAATCGTGGTGAAGTTGAGCTAGGTTAGGACTGGGAACGTTTCAGGGTAGAGAGGCAAAAAATTGTCTTCCTGTTTATTGTGGCAGTTAAAATGGGAGAAAAATTTCCCCCCGGCTTTTTGCAGGAAAGAAGGATGAGGTTCTGTGGAACAGGAGTGTAACTGAGGTGATTTAGGTTTGTATTTATATGAACATACTGAAGATGTTCCATAATTCATCTTTTTTCTAGCTCCTTCCCCTCTTCGGTGACCTATGTTTCTATTCGAAGCCCCCAAAGCTGTATCATTCTTGTTCAGTTAGCCCTACTTCCAAATAGTCTTCTGGCAATAGACCCTAGAGTTGATTTAAGTCCACAAATGACTGGACATTGGGGGTTTTAATTTATCGGGCCCATATCTACTGCCTGGAAGTGGCAGGTTTTAACTTATTTTTTCAGATGTGAAAAAAATCACTTCGCCAGGAAGATAGGATTGGGTTGATGGTTTATGAAATTCCTTCAGCATCTGCTCCTTGTTAATTCTAATTTCAAAGGCCAACAGGCTCCAGCTGGCTGAAAAAGTAAGCTAAAAGTTTTTTTTAATGTTTAGCACTTTGTCTAACGCTCTTTGCTGTTCTTCGGGATGGTTGTATATAGATAGCTATGTGTGAAAGCTTTTCAATGATAGGGCAAAGCAAGACCCTTACTGTGCTGGGCCTAGAGGCAGCATATCTAAAGGCTTTTGAAATAGCCTTGAACTAAGTTATCCACAATTAACAAATGGCCAGCCAAGTCATAGTTTGCTTTCTGCAATGTCTTAGCAAAGCCCCTTAAAAACCATAAGCTTAATCCACATTCAAAATATTTTTGGTCTCATTTCAACATCAAACATTGGACTGTATTAAGGAGACAAGCACTCTGCCCAGCTCTGCCCCTTAGTACCGAAGGGGGTTAGGCTGGATCGTTTTCAAGCTTTTTTTTTTTTCTTTTTTGGCTATAAAACCCTTCAAATGTATTCTGATAAAGAAGCTCTCCACATAAAACACAAAAGCAGGAGTTTTCTGGAACATTTATTCTTTCATCAAGGGTTTTTTTTCATGACAGGCACTGAGGATCCAATAGTAGTTTTTGGTAGAAGAGGACTAAGTGATGACAAAAATGTATTTCCCTCACTCCCCCACCCAAGAAGAAATAAATACCACACAAACTGTAAACTCATTTAGTGGTTCAGTTCATAATTCTAGTTGTGATTGTTAGCACTCTGACTTGGGCCTTGGTTTTCGGCCCCAGACTTAGTCCTAGGCTGAGAGACTGACTCAGGTACAGCTAGGACGTTTTCTGGTTCAAATCCTTGTTGGGTTCAAATGAGTCGTCATCCCTGTGGAAGGCAGCACCAGCAGAGAAGCTACAAATGCACTTCAAAAATGAGAAGTAGTGCTGGTTTTACCTTAACCACACACTGCACAGCCAAGAAAAATTAGCAGGAGTTGAGCAAAAAATACAGAGCAAATATCCCTGGGAGAAGCCCTAAAGCAGCTCCTAGTGAAAGCCGCAGTAGGGTGACAGTAGGATCTGTTTCTTCCACTTTGAGACTGATCACGTCAGAACATGAGTCCAAGGCACATGACCTTAAGAGGAGATGTTCTGCTGCCGGTCTCACTAGCCAGATTCTCCTTCAGTTTCAGGCTTTCGACAGGATGGGAGTGGTTCACACTCCAGAATGGTAAAGGAGTTACAGTTTGAAGCCAGAATGAATAGCCACGATGCCTGATGTGAGACTTTCATAAGTCACCTTCTCAAAACCTGCATCTTCTATCATCTCTTTGAACTCCTCCTAAAACACAAAGATACAGCAAGGATCACCTGGATTTAAACTCTAGGGCCTTTGTTGTAAAATATCAAAGTTTTGTACCTGAGATGGGAACTGTCGGATACTTTCTACAAGATATTGGTAGGACTTCCAATCTCCTGCAACGACCTCTCCCAGAACAGGAATGACCTGGAAGCTATATAGATCATAAAGCCTAAACACAAAGGCAAAAGATTAAGATTACAACATGCCCCCTGAGCAGAAGCAAGAAGGTTTAAGCGTGGAGTTATAAATTCAAATGCCTATAGGGGTCAAGTCCCTGAAAGTAATGTGGGCCCCGTGTAAGGCCAGTAGGGACTAGTGAGGATGTGGTGACAGGTGCAATTAGGAAGTAGCATAAAAGTGGAGAAGGGGCAGGTACTACTCAGCTCTGACTACTGCCACGTGGGAGTAAGTGCTCAGCGCTGCCCTATATGGTTCCTCAAGTGAAGCTGGAAACTCAGATTTTTATGTGAAACTTCCCGATTTTTAAATACGAACCTCTAAGTCAATTTCTTAAAATACGGATGAATCAAACAAAACAGATCTGTGGGCCAACCTGAGCCTCTGGTTGTTGGTTTGAAACTCTTCTGGCTTAGGTGTTGTCATTCAGAACTGGCTGACTTTGAGGTGGCACTGACCCTTAGAGACTCTGAACTATAAGGTTCATGCTTATCACTTACTGGCTGTTTTATGTCCGTTTTGGGATGGGGAACCGTTGGCTAGCCAATGAGAATAAAGCCCTGTTAACAGTGCCAACCTGGATATGAGGGGATTGTTCACTTGACTAAACTCCAGGCAGAGAAACCGTCCTCCTGGTTTCAGGACTCGATGGGCTTCCTGGAGTGCCTGAGCAAGACAAGGAACAAGAGAACACACTCCTCAGCAGAACTCAATTCCATGAGGCCACAACAGCTTTAACTTTGATGGGCATTATAAAAGTTAGCATTTTCCATAGATCCCTTGGCATTCTCAGTTGGAAAGCTGTAGCAGCAGAGATAACCCTACAATATCCTAAATTTTATAGGCATTCTGTTGCCCATGAAGGGGTTACTTGGAGTACTCAGACTGGTACAATCACATCGTGGCCAATTTCACAATTGTCTATTGATTATTTATTTATTAAAAGCTCATTTCAGGGTTTTCTTTTTTTTATTTTTTCTTATTTTTTTTTAAAGATTTTATTTATTTAATTGACAGAGAGAGAGAGAGCATGAGAGGGAACACAAGCAGGGGGAGTGGGAGAGGGAGAAGCAGGCTTCCCGCTGAGCAGGGAGCCCGATGCGGGGCTCGATCCCAGGACCCCAGGATCATGACCTGAGCCGAAGGCAGTTGCCCAACCAACTGAGCCACCCAGGCGCCCCTCTTTATTTTTTTTTTAAGTAAACTCTTTGCCCACCATGGGGTTTGAACTTAAAACCCCGAGATCAAGAGTTGCACCCTTTACCAACAGAGCCAACCAGGTGCCCCTACAATTACTTATTTAAATCACAATGGATATCCTCTTTGATCTAGGAATTTTACTTCAAGGAAACTATCTTATAGAAATGCATCTGTTGTAGGGGCACCTGGCTAGCTCAGTCAGTTAAGCATCTGACAGTTTTCGCTCAGGTCAAGATCTCAGGGTCATGAGATCAGTCTCCATGCTGGGCGTGGGACCTGCTTAAGACTCTCCCTCTCCTGCCCCTTCCTACCCTCCAAAAAAAAAAAAAAAGCATCTATTGTAGAGATGACATGCATATAGGTTATTCCCTGCAGCACTGTTTGAACAGCACAAGATTAGAAGCATCTTAACTATTAATGAGATACTGGTTAAATTATGGAATGTCCAGGGTGCCTGGGTGGCTCAGTCATTAAGCATATGCCTTTGGCTCAGGTCATGATCCCAAGAGGTCCTGGGATCAAGCCCCGCATCGGGCTCCCTGCTCTGCGGGAAGCCTGCTTCTCCCTCTCCCACTAACCCTGC